CCGGTTTTCCGCTGGTGAATTTCGTCATTTCCGGTTAGCATTAGCATGTGGCGAAATGCTACGTTTTCAAACCGTGAATTGAAGGTGAAATAACGTGATGTTGTACACTAAACACCCTGGGTTTAACACTCATTTATTGACGCAGGAATGAGGTTTATTAGGGAATGTTTAAATAACCACAGACATCTGAGTGATGTAATTCAGCAGCAGAAACCGACAGGATTTGCATTGGACACGCCCCCGTCGACGCCGGCCAATAGGAGAAGACTACAGTTGTTACCCGGGAGACACAAGAAGGATCTCTCTCTCTCCTTGCCCCCAGCTGACCCAGCGCTGACGGGACCAAACAGCTGGCAGGGGGGAACCACCAACGCGCCCATTTCATTTGTATACCACCGCATCTTTTGTGTAATTAAATGCTGTTAACTTTTATAAGCTTGCCTTGACTCTTTTCAGTCTCTCCTGCTCTCGGGGTTCAAGAACCACTAACAGTTGTATATCCACGAAGATTAATACATGAAGACTTGTGACTCGGACTTGACTTGGACTCTTCTTAGGTGGCTCGGACTTGGACTCGGACTCGAACACAGGTAATGATGACTCGGACTCGGACTCGACTCAGACACTCGTTGGGTGACTCGGACTTGGACTCGGACTCGAACACAGGTAATGATGACTCGGACTCGGACTCGACTCGGACACTCCTTGGGTGACTCGGACTTGGACTCGGACTCGACTACGACTCTCCCTTGGTGACTCGGACTCGAAGAGTGGTGACTCGAGAGTGACTTGGACTCGTGAATTGGTGACTTGACTACAACACTGCGTTGAAATGCTCTCCGCAGACCCATGCTCACAGCGTTATAAACCTTTTTCTTACTCAATATCAAGCCACACTTATTGTTTTTACTTCGGCTGTGAGTGTTTGTGTGTGCTCAGGATGAGTTTCGCTTGTTCTAGCTGTATCACCAAGCCTGTCTGCTCCTCCAGCAGTGTGTGTGTCTGTGTGTGTGCGAGCAGTGCTAACTAAGTTGCTAGCGTTTCCATATATCAACTCCAATGTTAGCAGATGGCCTTACATGTATCTCATAGCTGTAGAATGTCTGCAATCACACACGAAATACTCATAGACAGTATACTCCGGGTGATTTACCGTACGGTCAGTACATTATAGTTGGCGTTCCTGGCGTGTATGCTACCGAGCTACCGTTCATAGCGTGTATGCTACATAGCTAAACAACAAGGCTACCTAGAGCTAGACATGTTCTTGCTAGCCTAGACTAGCTGTTGTTCATAGTAGATTGGCATATTACACTGAACAACTAGCAAACGTAGGTTAGCATATTAGCTGGCAAGCTAACTGTGTTGATTAGATAGATAGATTAGATAGATACACACTCCTACCACAACTACTACTAACGAATCTAAAACAACTACGTTTCTCTAATATTTTGTGATTTGCATTTGATTTCGTCCAGCCAGATCAGGAAACTCCTGGCGTATCTGGCGGAAAACACACACACGGGATGACCACTCTGATGCCTCGTCCTAAAAAGCCCCGGCAGCAGCTTACAAGCTGCGATAGGCAAGATGCCGAAAATGCCTATAATGGGAGGAATGGATGATATACAGTGTATATATGTATATTTACACATGTCCATTTTGTACATTTCTAAAAATAAAGTTTGATGGAAATACTTAGTATCCTTTCTTCCCTGAATTATTTGCTCCTATAACATATCATTCATATAGCAAACCATGATTTGATTTCTCATCAAAGAGTAGTAGTTTATTACAGGGAAAAATAACTTACTCTTCTATAACAACAGTTGTAGGTACAGTTCGGTTAGTTAGCGTATAAAATATACGGCTGTACCGACGCCATTATAAGACTGATGTTCCGCTCAGAGCGAGCCGAAAAAAGCACTGTTAGACATGGGCGGAGCCTCTCTGGTGGTTGACTAATCAGAACAGAGTGGCCGAGCTGACCAATCGAAGCACACTGGGCTCACAGGGAGAGGGGGGCAAGAGCTCCAACAAGCAGTTTAGGACAGAGAGTGAATACCGGTGAATATACATGCTTGACAGAGATGCTGTATGCGAAACCAATGTGAGTTTGGAAAATTGCACAGTATAAATCTATTTTAGTATACCTCAACAATGTAATTATGATCAGTGGAAATGGCCATGACATGGGCCCTTTAAAACTATCTGAAATGTTCCCAATTTCCCATATGCACATCTTCTTACAAATGTTTTGTAAAACATTTGAATGTGTAACACTTAAAAAAAACTGTTATTTGGCAGAAACAAAAAACTGTAAGCTTCCATTGGTTTAAAATACACTTTAATTATTAACAGTCATTGGTTAACATGAAATTTACTTTTTCTGTTTGGTTTAAGGAATAAATAGAAGTGCATATGAGTGACTTTACATACAATGGATAAGTGTATAGACCCCACAAGGTTTAAATATTAGTTTCCAAAAGTCTAAAAATAAAACTATATTTTTACATGTATTTTTGCTTTGCTTGGTAGTGGTGTCAATGTTTAGCCACTATTGTTTTTAAGGACATCAATACGTCCTTAAATTAAAGGTGGGGTAGGTAAGTTTGAGAAACCGGCTCGAGATCGCTAGAATTTGAAAATACACAACCGGACAAAATCTGCCACTTCCTTATAGAGCCCCTCCTCCAACACACACGAACGCGCACATGACCAATGAGGGCACGAGATAAGTTTGTGCACAGATGGAAGGCTGACAGGCAGGTAGGCCATCCAGTTATTTTAGCCGGGCCGGCTTTTTACAGTATTACGGCTTCCACAGATAAAAAATGTTTATGGATTTTTTGTCAAAGCACTTAAGATATTCATTGCTATCGGGATGTTAAGAGCATTCCATGGAATATAACAAAAAGTGTATCTCGAGCCGGTTTCTCAAACTTACCTACCCCACCTTTAATATTATATGTATTATAAATATGTTTTAAAATTAACATTACTTCATATGTACTTAGACTATGATTGTTGCCCATCCAAATTTAGCTCACACATTTAAACACTCACCAAAGAAAATGCGAACAAAATGTTATTTCCATCCACCAAGCTGGGTGCATCAAGAAAAAGTTGTGGGGGAATTATACCACTAAACAAGAAAAGGCAAGAATATGGAATTAAATAAAAACTCCAGTCACAATCAGTGTTTTCACTTCACTACACAGTTGCTGTCTAATATCCAGCATTTCCATTCACGTTTTTTGTGTAAAAAATAAAAACCTGAAATTAGAAATAGTGAATACTGAATACTGAATATTACAGAGAGTGTCATCGGGCTCCTCCTGATGTCTCTCAGGAAGTAAAACAGAATAAGCAAACAACAATGCATGTGCCCCCGTGGATCTGTCAGGTATATACTGAAATGAATGGGCTCAAAGTAAAACACAGACTCTGAAGGATTCCTTTATCACATCAAAACTTGGCACAGAGGCTTTAGTTGTTGAACATTCATGAAATAAATTAAATGTTCTAATGCACACAAATCAGAATTTACTTTCAAAGAGGGGTTCCACACAACTGTAGATAGTGGCATGGCTTATGTGAACATGTTGACATGGTGGTGATGATATGCAGGTGCACTGAGTTTCCAGAGACAGTCTGTGGAATTAAATGCACAGACAGAGGCATAGAGCACACATCCATTACGAGCTGTAAGAGGAACACACACACTCATTAGAAAACACACATCTCAATATTATATTTTTGCGGCGGGCATAACCAATGTAGAAAACTAGGGATGCGCAACAATATGTTTTTCTTAAGCCAACATATTTCCAACCATATTTTCGCAAACAATAACCAATAAACAGATTACTCCACTAATTCCTTAGAGTCTTCCTAACTCCCAACATGTACACTGGTCTAATGTTACAAACCAGGACTAAAGTTGTGGCTCTCTGTGAAAGCTCCAGCTACAGCAGCCATCTTCTCAACTCGTAAGATGTTCCCATAACCTGTTTTCTTGTCTTGCGCTGACTTCTGTGTCAAATTTGTATTCAGTACACATATGTACATTCAAAGAGGTAAGTTCCTGTTCTAGCTGTGGAACGATTAACAGGCCAACTTTAAGAGACCAAAAGCCACAGTCCTGGAGCTAAAATTACCAATTAGAATTTAGATTTGACACACACCCCCCCCCCCTTCATTAGTGTAGTCCAGTGGCATGACCTAAGGAGCTAAACAATGGAATGAATTGTCCCTGGTTATTCATCTAGCTTGTTTCATGGCCTGCCAGTAGAATATATAAAAACATGGAAGGGGTTAGCATGGGCAGAGGGATGAAAACAATTACAATTGTTTTTTTAATGTATATATGGCATGTGAGTTTGAAAGTGAGTATCACTATCATTTGTTTCAAACATGCCCATTTTCAAAAAAATAAGAGGTTTATAAACATCAACATTGATTGAAAACAATTAAACAAAAAATATGCAAATTAGTAAAAATATAATCCTGCTAATTTAACAGCTGTTTGCAGTGCCAACATCTGCACAAACAAAAAACAACACTTCCACTAACACAGCTCTTCACATTGCAACTATTATTGAAGTGGTTGCAATAATCCATTTGAACATAGTGTATGTTTAATACATTATGGCAGGGGTGCCCAATACGTCGATGGCGATCGAGCGGTCGATCGACCGGTCGATCGCAAAGGTAGTGTGGGTAGATCGCATGGCATTGAAAAAAGAAATTGATCCATCCTTACTATGGCATTTGCCAGTTGATTGACGTACAGGTAAGCCAGTCTGAGTTGTATCGTGCCATACGGGTTCATGCAGTTATGAGGGGGCCTCACCTCCTCATCTGAAGCGCAAATGCGGCGCACTACTATGCGCTTATGCGGCGCAATTAGTGTGAGCAGTTTATCCGCCGTTTAGTCCACTAGCACCCCTCCCCCCCCCCCACACAGATTGGGCAGGGGCGGGCGGCCCTGTAGGTAGATCATTTGGGCTTGGTCATTTTAAAAGTAGCTCCCAAGCTGAAAAAGTGTGGGCACCCCTGCATATGTGCTTCATCGCGAGGGGTCTGCCTGCAGGCCTCCACTCTCAGGACAGTTCCGGTGTAGGCTCCACTCTCAGGACACCTCCACTCTCAGTACTGGAAGTGACGATTCTGACGAACACGTTTTTCACGAGAGGAGAAGAGAAAAATGCAACGAAAATGGTCAAAATCCGTTAATATATGGATGAGTGGGGGGGGGAAACAGCTGGACACAGGCCGTGGGGGGACACCCACCCTATTAAAATGAATAGAACCGGGGAAAATAGGGGGAAAAGTTAAAAAAAGTGTCCGAAAATAGGCACTCGTGAGGCGGGCAGAGTCCCCTGTCAACTCCCGTTACATTCCTCCATGGTGTCATTTGAGCGAAAAATGACTAAGTCAACTTTTACGAGAACCAGGCTGGGGGGGTCAAAAGGGCTTGACCAAGGCCGACCCAAACTGCATGGTGAGCGGACTCATCACCTCCGTGATGAGTCTCCATTGTGATTTGAAAACTTCAATCAGACGAGTCCTTCGGGGGGCGAGGAAAAAAACTTGTTCGTCAGAATCGTCACTTCCTGTACTGAGAGTGGAGGTGTCCTGAGAGTGGAGCCTACACCGGAACTGTCCTGAGAGTGGAGGCCTGCCTGCAGGCCTCGACTCTCAGGACAGTTCATCCCATGGCTTCATCAGCTCTAACTCTGTGTGTTTCTGAGCAGTACAAACAAACAGCACTGCTAATAAGTAGCTTTAAAAATTATTGCTCATTTTATATACTGTAATTCACATTTTTTACTTCAACAACCTTATTACAATGTGAGGAGAGATTTCCTTCACAACGCCATGTGTACAATACAAGGTAAACCCAAAGTCCATAAAATAACCAGATTAACAGATTGCCTCTTGAAGAACATTTTATTCTCTGAGTAGAAAGAAACCAAGCTTGAAATAGCACCTAAATCCCCAAAAGGATAGAAGACACCTGTAAGGACCTTCCAGTGATCTCATGTCAGGTTCCTGGTGAACACGCGCTCCCCTCGCAGGGTGAGGTGCTGCAGTTGGTACTGCAACACCTCCGTGTCCGACGACTCTCTTATTCTTGTTTTGTCCAGATTTAGGTAGTCCAGAGACTTGGACTGGGCCCTCTTCCCTTTAAGCAGACAGAGTGGTAGTGAAGCATGTAGACCCCTCCCAGCTTCCCCCTGGGCCAGGGACCTGAGGATTGGGTCACTGGAGCTGGGCATACGCCTCCGCCTCCGCCCATTGGCAGCAGGAATTTCGTAGGGTTGGTAGTAACGACTTTTTCCTTTGCAGATTCGTGGAGACTTGTGGAGAACAGATTCTCCAGCCTTTGGGACACTGCTCTGGATGGAGTTGGACACCGTTTCTGAGACAGAACCCTTCTCTGGAGGGCCTTCTGACCACCTGTGGGCCAGCTTTAGCAGTTCCTCCCCAGTGGTGAAGCCCACCAGGTAATTGGAATCCATGTGGAGGATCTGGTACCCTGCGACAGTGCCTCTGATGGGGGAACAGGGGGTGCTGGAACATCGAGGTCTCTCTCTGTCAGGTTTTAATGTGGCTTTGATTTCAGCTGCAGGAACAATGGAGACGTGTGCTCTTGACCCTCCGTTGATATCCATTTCCATCCTTACAGACTTATCCTGAATAAAGATGTAGAAAAAAACGTTGAGTCATTCTTGTTTCTGGCAAAAAAACAGCAAACACAAACATTCAGTTCCCACATTCAGCAAATATCTGAAGGCAAGACATCCACTCACTCCTAAAGGGCTGGCCCTTTAGGAGTGAGTGGATGAAATATTGTGATTGTGCATGATGTCCATAGTTTGTACAAAATGTGTGTTTTATTATTATTGCAATAAACCAAAGCAAAGACAAATGTAAGTGAATGTAAAGAAAGGTAATCAGCCTGCCAACTGCTCTCATTTACTCAAGTACTGTACTTCTTCTATCTTGAGCTATTTTCATTTTATCCTACAGTATTTTATACTTATACTCCACTACATTTTAGAGTGTCCTAAATCCCCAAAAGGATAGAAGACACCTGTAAGTTTAACTTTTCCCCCTATTTTCCGCCAATATTGTAAGTTTTTCTCCACAGCAATTATCTGAAATCTTAAGTTACTTTGCAGATTCAAATTATTAGCTAATACAAAACATATAAAATTATATTTTGATTGCGCTTTTCTGGGACTCCAATTTGGCTTTACAATATAAGGGAGATCAACAAATAAGAAATACATATTTACCGTATATTGACATATACAGTAATTATTGGTTGGCGGTGGTTCAGCGGTGATGAACACATAAATGCATAAATTCTGCAAATGATCATGCCTGTTCTGCTTACATGCACACATGTAACAACGCCCTCAGCCCTACATGGAACTACAACTGAAGGCATGGTTTGCAGCTTTGAGGAGGCCTTTGGTTATCTATGCTTATTCTGTCTTAGGGAAAACAGGTGACATGTGTCTTGAGTATTTTTTACTCATAATGAAGTAGAACTTTGATTTGAAACAAAGTTTATTTTGATGTCTGTGTGACAGTGAGTGAGCCACAGGCCTTTTATTAAGAGGAGTTTTTCCTTTGCACATTTAAGTAAAAATACCTTTAAAAACTCCTGTTCATTTCGCATAATTTGGTAAGCAGGTACAATGTTTTAACTTCATTTCCATTTAACTAAAGTTATCTAGATTAATAACTTTACAAATAACACATTTGTGAGATTAAAGGTAGGGTAGGTACATTTGAGAAACCGGCTCGAGATCGCTAGAATTTGAAAATACACAACCGGACAAAATCTGCCACTTCCTTATAGAGCCCCTCCAACACACACGAACGCGCACATGACCAATGAGGGCACGAGATAAGTTTGTGCACAGATGGAAGGCTGACAGGCAGGTAGGCCATCCAGTTATTTTAGCCGGGCCGGCTAAAATGATTGGTCGTGCTTTTTACAGTATTACGGCTTCCACAGATAACATTTTTTTATGGATTTTTTGTCAAAGCACTTAAGATATTCATTGCTATCGGGATGTTAAGAGCATTCCATGGAATATAACAAAAAGTGTATCTCGAGCCGGTTTCTCAAACTTACCTACCCCACCTTTAACTAAACCACCCCAGTTAATTAGATTAGATTTTACAGAAGTCATTTGGGATCTCTTCATATTGCTCCATTATGAATGATGAATTTGAACTTTTTTACTGAACCACAGAATGAAAGGCCTGCTGTCATTATTTAACTGAAAGCGAATATCTTAAACACTGACTGATGCACCAGCACACAGACAGATGCGCGCACACGCGCACACACACGCGCGCACACACACACACACACACACACACACACACACACACACACACACACACACACACACACACACACACACACACACACACACACACACACACACCACACACACCACACACACACCACACACACACACACACACACACACACACACACACCACACACACACCACACACACACACACCACACACACACACACACCACACACACACACACACACACCACACACACCACACACACACACACACACACACACACACACACACACACACCCTTTATGAGTGGTGGTGTTGAGGCTGTACAGAGAACATTCAGGAGGAAAGATGGAGACATGCGGAGCATCATGTCCGCTGCTGTCAGGAGATACCGTCTCATTACAACATGTCCATCACTGTGTATATACACTGTATTCATAAAGCGGGCCATGTTAAATGTGACGCCCTCATCATGTCAGACTCCGAGTCTCATCACATTGATCCAGTCATGGTGGCGCGTGACCAAGGGACCGCAGTTTACGGGGGAGCACGAGCTGATCTATCTGTGTTATTCTCTCGGTGGTCTCCGGCTCTCACCGCGATACGGACGGAATAAAATCAAATCAACACAAACCTGAGTGAAGAGAAAAGATGTCCCTCCCGTCTGCCTCTCTCCTCTCTGCTGTGTTCCGCCAGCCACAGGAACACTTCCGGTGTGTTTCTCCACAGCACAAGCGATTATACAATATTTCAATAGGCCTATACATCATTTAAACTATTTGTATTTCAGAATAAATCATTAAACCCCTAAATGGGCATTCACATATACATATTTTGGAAAATTAATTTATTGCTTTTTTTCTACACCCATACTACTATTGCAGCCATGTTGCACCCGTGATACACCCATATTATAGCCACATATTACACTGTTATCACACCCATTTTATCCCCCAGCATACAGACACCATTTAAGGGTTACATTATTTGTTGGTTTCAAATATCAGACGACAATATCCACTAGTCCCCGCTGTTGTAATATTTTTTTAAAATAACAAAACACAGTTATATCATCAAGTTTATTGAAGCTCTTTCCATCAAATAATAATAATAACAATGTAATGAATAAAGATAAAAATAATCAGAAATGATTTGTTCATTGTGGAAATTGTTTCACTCATACACAAACAGGAGCTCACAACATGCATTGATGGAGACAAGTCAGAGACAGGGGCTCTAAGCACTTAGCAGCTGCTGCCTTGCTCAAAGGTTATCTCTGCAGGAGGCAAACTCCACCGAACACACGTGCCACAGCATTCATATGGAGGCTTACAGCTGTGTGTAAGGAACCAGCAGCTAGCTGTTAGCTCTGCTGCATCACACTCACTGAGCTTCACAATGCCATTCAGTCTCAAAAACCTTAGCAGGCCTATCTGTCACAAGTAGTAATAACTAAACTAGTAAAATCATTGAACGCTTGACATGGCCATAGTCAGGGTTATCCTGAAAAGTTACATATACATTGACATGTTCAGCAAAACTATGAAGAAAAACATGAACTCATAACATTACAAAATGTAAAGAATTAAGGACATTTTGAATGTGTACAATGTCATTAGAGCTAACCTACCCTGTACAGTAATGTACTATCAAACCATTTCAAATTGTACATGGTTAAAGAAACATTTAAGCAGAAATCCATTGCGCTTCTCAACAGACCTTCTAGGGCACGGGTGTAAAACTCTTCATGTGGCCCGCAAGAGCTTGCAAATAATATAATATGTTTATTATACGGTTACATGCCACTTTAGAGAAGTACGTTGCCCATAAAGTACATGTCCCACAATCGTTTTGTGACATGCACACTGAAGACACTTGCAATTATTTGCCCCAGACTTCTGCTTTCAGATGTAGTTAATTATGAAGTTATTACCCTATCTGATAATAATCCAATTCAGTAATACAATACATTATTTTATATATTTATATATGTATATTTATAGAGTTACAACCGGCCCTTTGAGTGCAACCATAATGCTAATGTGGCCCGCGATGAAATTTAGTTTGACACCCCTGTTCTAGGAACAGTAAAAACATTTTGGGACTGATTTTGTGACATCATATATTCAATAAAATGTATTTAATACATGTGAATAAATCCTTGCTATAGAATGAGTCCGTCATTTTGAATCACTCCAAGCTCAAGTACCGTAACAGCACATGTATCTCCGAGGGTTATGCTCTTTGTGCAGCTGGATTCAAACTACGTCATATTACATTGTATCTATGAAATAGGAAATTATCCCACACAATGTTTTACACAGTCATGTTGTTGCTCTGGGCGGCTCTGTCCTGTCTGTATGTGTGCTGTCAGCATCCTCTTTGCAATGTCCCCTGGTTAGCCTCTCTTTGGGAATGCTGTGTTCTTGGCTCATATGAAGCTCAGATCTTACTGACAGCTGTTTTTCTACTCTCAGGTATCCTTGGCATGAACACAGGACATGTGTAGCAGGAGAAGAGCAATGGGAGGGGTAAACAGAGAAGCAGGAGAAGTTGTATAAAGCACATTAGTAGTACACTTTAATTGAGTTTTCCTGTTCGGTAGTTCAATACTTTGATGGTGCATCTTTACTATTATTACATTTTTTTAGCAACCATGACAAACAATACATGTTAAAGTTTCATTTAACAAGTTCATACACCCGTTTGCATAAAGGTCTTAGTCCCTCTGAGCTATCTGGATAAATTGAGGGAAATCCTCGGGAAGAGAACAGTTTCAGTAAGCACTATATTATACTACACCTCATTGTGAAACTGTAGCTTTTATTTAACGTTCAGGTTTTTTTAAGCGAGTCAGAAATGTACTCACACATTCTACAGCATGTCTCTAAAGCCAGCACTGTCTTGCACCATGCTGCTGTACACTGATTGGTACACCTTGGACACATCCAGAGCTGAAGGCCTGAGCCTGGGGTCTTCCCTCTTACACTCCTGGTGGATCTGAAAGAGATGGAAATGGACTACATCCCCCCCAGGTACCCTTCCCATCAGGAACCATGTCACGTCAGGGATCTTCCAGATGTCTGTTCTCTCATCGTACTCAGGCATGAGATCGTCTGCAAATGGCGTTCCTGCGTTTCTGAAGGGCCACAGCTGCTCTGGGGCAACAAAGTCCCCAGTGAGCTCACGATGACCACATTTTACCCCAAGGCCTTTGGGTGTGTCCACCTCAGGCAGCGCATCGAGATCGTTCACCACCAGGTGAAAGTCACTTGTCAGCAGAAACTGGGACAAGGTTTTTTCCAGGCTGTTGGAGTCACACATGACCCGCCGCCCAGCTGGGCTGTTGTGGAGGTAATGCAGGATGAGGACGTAGTCTATAGCCAACCTCAGCCGGGCCTGCCATGTATTGTGTTGCTGGTGCTGCCGTTGTTCAAGAATACCTTCCAAATTAAGGAGCGGGCCATGTGGATGGTGCTCCGTGACCTGGGTGTGGTCTTCAAGGCAAAAACCCACCAGCTGCACCACCCGAGGGCCCTGCAGGAGCTGTAGCATAGACAATCCATGGAGGAAATCCTCCAGGTAATCCAGAGAGGACAGTTTGGACAAAGCTACCTTTTGACCCCTCCATTCTGCCAAATAGACCTGGGGGAAGAAAAGTGGACGATGAGGTCGGTAATGAGGAGTGAGGGCTGAGCAGAGGAAACATTGACAACATAGGACATTACCTGAGGGACAGGTTTGTGTTCTTCCAGTAAAGAATACAAACTTAGTGCAAATTACTAATTTCCAATTGATGAATGCAACTTGTACATTGGTAAGGGTGCATTTATGAGATAAGCATGATCAATACTCCCCAATAGCTCTGCAAGGTAACCTGTTCTGCTTCAAATGACAAAAACATGCCCTGGTAAGTGGACCACTTACAAAATAGGATGCAATCGATTAATTCAGATCAGTTTTCAATGCACACAACAATGGTTCCTCTCCTGGTTTAAATCCTATCTCCTTGACAGACATCAATTCATCTCCATCAACAACTCCAAATCCCCCACAGCCCCAGTCAATCATGGCGTCCCTCAGGTTTCTGTACTTGGTCAACTTCTGTTCATCACCTACATCCTCCAATTGGAAAAATTATTCGACAAAACCAACTCGAGTTCCACTTTTATGCCGATGACACACCCCGACTGGATTATCGCAACAGCATTCTTTATGGTTCTCCTGCATACATTCACAAAAAACGTCAGTATTTCCAAAACTCAGCTGCCCGTATGCTCACCTCCATCCGACGCTCTGACCACATCACCCCTAGCCTCCAGGACCTCCACTGGCTCCCCATCAAACACCGCATTGACTTTAAAATCTTACTATTCACTTTCAAAGCCCTCAACAACCTTGCCCCCCCTACATCAGTGACCTCATCCAATGACACACCCCTACCAGTCGCCTCAGGTCTGCTGAAGCTAATCTACTGCAGCCCATCAGAACCAAGCTCCGGACCTATGGTGACAGGGCCTTCTCAGCAGGGGGGGGGGGGCATCTCCTCTCCTCTGTAAGGAGCTGCTGCTGCAGGGGGGATACATGCTGCAGGACTTCCGCCCCATGGAGCGGGTGTCTGCAGGATCGGTAAATGAAATCCAACATTCAATGTTCTTGGGAGGCCGTTGTTTATATTTGTGACTTTGTCATACTGCTGCTACTCCCGGTAACTTCCAGACACTTTCTACGCTCGCTCAACTTCTTTCTCCTTCTACACATGCACATGCCCCACACGTATCATCCCCCCTCCCACTGGCTCTATATCATTGTAAAAAGCCCTGACAACTGTAGACAGCCTTTCTGTATTCATTAGGAGATAATACATCAGCTAGAATAAAACAGTAATTGTTATAGTCAACGACTCTAAGAACACTGACAACACTAGTTGTTGGTGACAACAGCAACAACAGAGCTACACTTCATACCAAACAGAGGATTTAAAATGAATTTATAAAAAAATGTAAAATGAGTTGTCTCTTGATTGATAACATAGGACACATTCATTGATTAAGTGTTGAAGAAGTCATTGCTCCAGTTTTTTTGGTAAGTGAAATTCAAGGTTCTAGTATTTAATCTGTATGGGAGCTTTGCAGTTCAATTCACCCCTTTTTAAAATGTTGTCAACATCTTGTTGACAATAGCCGCGTTCACACCAAGTACTTTCCTGTACTTAGTTCCGGCACTAAGAGCCCCGGCGCTTTTAACCCCAGGGCACTTAGTACAGATCGCGTTCACACCGGAGTACTTTTCCCTGAGGGAAGATTACGCAAATGAGCCGCTGACGTCACTTCTTCTTCTTCTGCTTTGGCTTTACTGGCAGGCCACAAACCACTTCACGGCGAGTACAGTAGGTGGCGGTATGCACCTTAAAGTTGTTTGCAATCCGCTGCAAAACAAGAGAAGAAGAAGAAAAACTTCCCGCGTATACTGCGACGCCCACCCACTCGCTGTACATTAGGCGTCTGTTTACCTTCCGACCTCAGACATGATGGAGATGGAGTCGACTGAAGTTGTGCTGTTTGTGCTCATGTTATACAGCTTTGTAACTGAGTTAATGCAGCCTGAGCAACTTGCGTACAATAACAAAACAAGCCGAGCACGAGTGGTGGTGGAGAACGCTTTTGGCAGACTGAAGGGCAGGTGGCGATGCTTGATGAAAAGAAACGACTGCAAGATGGACAAGATCACATTCCAGGTGGCAGCATGTTGCATATTACATAACCTCTGTGAAAGTAATGAGTACAGGGACGAATGGACTGCCTTACCGGCGACCCAGCTTTATGAGGCATCTGAACAGCGTGTAAATTGTAAACATTTTGACAATAAAGATGATCTTTTGTACAGTGCTTTTGTTTCTCTTTTATTTTCCAGTCAAGACAGGCAACATTACAATAGGGTACAGTGTGGCAATATAATAACAATAAACTGTGCCAGGTGTGTTGTATGCACAGTAAATAGGCTCAGCAGCAAACCCACCGTTATTATTTATCTTCCTGAGATCCACTGCATCCGTCTGCCATAAACATACATGTTAGTTTCGGCCCATAGTGGACTCCATTTTGTGTTGTGTAAAATGGGGGGGGGAATTAAAAGTTTGCAAATCCCCATGTCCTCCTCAGAGGACAATCATAAAAACATTTAGTTTTAGGTCAAATAATATTTAAAATGATATAAATTATCATATTTGTGTATGTGCCCCTGCCATTATTCCACAAGGTTGCAACATTGATGATAAATAAATGACAAATAAAGCTTTGCCAGTTTATAACCGATGAAACATGATGGTATCAGAATAATCACTTACATGTGATGTATAGGATGCTACGGTCACTAAAGATAAAGTGTCAGGAGAAATAAGCAAGCTACAGGATCTGTTTAACAGTAAATAGAAGTTCACATTTTTTATGTAAATAAAATAGAAGTTGTACATGTAAATTAACATTATCAATATAAAATAAAGTGTCAGTTGTATCAAGACTATATAATAACAGTAATAACAATAATATAAAATGAACTGGTGAGCATCTTGTCCTCCGTTTCCTGGGCCTTGGTGAACAGCACCATCTGATCCCCGTGCATCGACTCTTTCACCACGGCACGCCGGTCCTCCAACGCCTGGGCGGTGTCAAAGAAATTCGCATCCCGTGTCCGCTTTCCTAAGAGGGGAAAATAAGCAAGATACAAGATCTGTTTAGTCGCCATGTAGTTTTACAACATACTAGGAATGTTTTTTTGGTATTTTCACAAATAGAATTAAGGTTTCACAAATCTGAAACTGTGTTATAAAGAATGTTTAGCCTCTCTGGGATAATCCAGTCCAGATTTGATGAGTCTAGGTATAGTGGTTTTAGATCAGGACCTGGTCTAATGTGGTCTACATGTAAAAAAGCACTGAAATCTCCCTTTTTTGTATTTTTACAAATAGAATTAAGGTTTCACAAATCTGAAACTGTGTTATAAAGAATCTTTTGACTCTCTGGGATAATCCAGTCCAGATTTGATGAGTCTAGGTATAGTGGTTTTAGATCAGGACCTGGTCTAATGTGGTCTACATGTAAAAAAGCACTGAAATCTCCCTTTTTTGTATTTTTACAAATATAATTAAGGTTTCACAAATCTGAAACTGTGTTATAAAGAATGTTTAGCCTCTCTGGGATAATCCAGTCCAGATTTGATGAGTCTAGGTATAGTGGTTTTAGATCAGGACCTGGTCTAATGTGGTCTACATGTAAAAAAGCACTGAAATCTCCCTTTTTTGTATTTTTACAAATAGAATTAAGGTTTCACAAATCTGAAACTGTGTTATAAAGAATGTTTAGAGCCTCTGGGATAATCCAGTCCAGATTTGATGAGTCTAGGTATAGTAGTTTTAGATCAGGACCTGGTCTAATGTGGCCAGGATGCGAAAAAGCACTAAAATCTCTCTTTTTTATATTTTCACAAATAGAATTAAAGGTTTCACAAATCTGAAACTGTGTTATAAAGAATGTTTAGCCTCTCTGGGATAATCCAGTCCAAATAAATCGGCTATGCAGCGATTTAAGAGGTTCAAACACGGAGGATTGTTCCTTTTTGAAGAGTGCTTCATGTATGCTTGAACTTTGTTTAATGTTGTTGAGGCAAGTTAAACATAAAATATGATGAATATTATGAAATAAACATGATTGTGAACATCAGTTCGATGCGTAACGTTCTTTCAAGACAAAGTTACAGTGTGTGTACCTTTGCGTTTGGTTGCTGGTAAGGAGGACGAGGCGCTGTGATCTAGAATGCAAAGCTCGCTTGTTTCCAATCCCGAGAGTTGTCCATCCTCGCCTGAAACAGACGATTAGTGCCATGAGTTAGTGAAGCAAATTACAGAAACACTACACAGTTATTCACAAGTCAAAACGTTTTCATAGCGGCCGAGAATATCTAGCTAGCTAGATGTAGCTAGCTCGGGGCCGGTGTTAGCCTATTCAGCCTAGCATGGCTAGCTTGATCTACTGAGCAAATAAAAGTACATCTGAGACCATTATTGTGCAGATTAAAACCCCAGTGCATGTAGTTGATTTTACCTTCGTCGTGGTAGTCATCGTTGGCCACTGAATCCGCCGTTTGTAGTCCTGAGTTTCTTTATTTTTAGCCGGCTGTGCACGATTCCCAGGTCGAGTGAAAGCTACCGAACTGGCTTCAGTAGCATTCCCTGGGTCGCGTCCTCGGCGTAGATCTCCAGAAGCGCCGACACCTCCTCATCATTTCTTGATGCTTGCCATAACTGCTTTCAAAAACAAACCCAACGCTCCGTCGGTGCGTTGGGTTTTTGTAGCGAGGAAAAACAATGGCGTCTCCACACAACATTTTCACAGTTGTACGGGCGTGGTTTGCAATTCGCCCAGCCAATCAGCACTGGGGTACTTTTCACCCACAGAAAAGTACGCTCTCCCAGCGGGCTCTAAAAATGGGGGTAAAAGTACCCGAGATTAAGTACGATTTTTGGTGTGAACGCGACATAAGGGGTACTCACGGAACTAAACGCGAAAAGTACGGTGAAAAGTACTCCGGTGTGAACGCGGCTAATGAAAATAGCATTTGAATTTCTTGTAAATCTGATTTGGCTGGTAAATCCTGCATTAGAACTGAATGGGGAATTGACTTGAGGCCAATTGCATTTCCCTCCTTTAATTCAGTTAACACAAAAGCCAATGTTGCCTTTAATAGACTACCTACCTTTTTAACAGCTCCTTGGCCAATCAGCTTCAGCTTGCGTACTTCACCGTCTATCTGTGAACACTGGAGCCAAGGTGTGAAGTTTTTCATGTTTGTGATTTTAAAATGCTGAGGCACGTGGCCTACATGAGATGAAACCAGCTGTTCATCAGTCTGATACAAAGAGTCCAGATACAGGTAGATCAAGGCATTGCTGAGGAGCAAGGCAGCTAGGCACACTGCCACTACTGGAACACCTTCGGAGATCAAACTGCTACTGCTCCGACCCATAGTGCCTCGTATCTGAAATAGAAAACAAAGTAGGGAGAGCATGATATAATAGCTACAGCTCAAAACAGTTAATCAGTTAACAGTTTTAGAGCACTGAGACAAAACATCTTCAGATTAGATAAAAATTACTCTATAACATTAAGTGTACAATAGAGTAACAAAATAACAGGAGACATTTATTCAGAATATTTGATAGGAACACAGACCAAGACACAGTTTTCATACAAGTTATTTGCATTAAAATATACCAGGGTTCTAATGTCTTTCCAACGAACAATCATAATCAGCCTACTACCAATACTCAAAATATGTCTTATAACCATATAAAACAGCTTTTAAAGTCTTTAACCTGTTAAGCCCTGAGCCTGTTTTTCAGGTCTCAGGCTCGAAAATGACATTCCCAGAACAAATGACCATATCTTCCCTTCTAAAAGGGTTAAATTAATAATCTTTTTTCTCAAAGTAATGATAAACCTGTGAGTTGGATGTAGAAAAGTCAGAATCAATATAGATGTAGATTAAAGAAAATTCAGATTTTACATAGTAAAAAACTGTAAATTATAGTGTCCGTCCAAAAAGTCTTTTTTACTTATAGTGAAAACCACCCTTGGATGATGGGTTAGTAGACTAAAAGCTTTAGGAATCCAAAGTACAACATATAATAAGCACCCTGTATCAACATTGATGCAAAACAAGTGACATTTGACCTTTTTAGAGAGATTTAGCAAAAAGAAACCACTTCTGGGGTCATTTGGGTGGATTTTCCATATCTCTGGACCCCCTTGCTCGATTTTGATGGTTGACACCTCTTTCTGACCGTTAGAGCCAATAGAATCGAAGGGGGAGTCCCCCACACACACGTTGTGAAGAGAAAAGGTGGGGGCTTCGCGCATGTAATTTTCCATCAGAGTGAACCTATCTCTAGCTTTGACATCTGGAAACGGAAAAGCAGTTTTAATGCTTATGGATTATCAGAAATCATTTCTACGGGACACAGACACATTAGATTAACCTATGGATTAACTTCAGCAGCGTTTTTATCGTTTTAATGCCATTGAAGACCACTTTGGAGAGACTACAGAGCCAAGGTAAAAATGTTAGCATTTTTAGCTACCTAGCGTCACCTGTTTTGATGTCCGTTTTTGCTTATAACGTCGCAAATACGTATAATTCAGTGGAAATGTTGGTGTCAATCGATTCTGTGTCACCTCACGATGTGAAAGGATGTGTTGGATGTGGTGAAAAGATAAATAATAAGGTTTTGTGAGTGATTTTCGGTGCAGTAAGGTGTTAGCATTTTTCAATCGTTGCTAATTCAGAGGCTCAGTGTTAGCATTGTGGGTTTTCTTTTGAAAAAAAAAAAAAAAAGATCAGTTAGATGAGTTTCTTCCTGTTACATGGATATAAAACATTCATAGTTTTATTAAATGAACATGCCCTCAGACACTGTTTCCTGCAAGATGTTGCGGCAGTGCCCCGGTACCGGGGTCTGTCGGGCTTAACAGGTTAAAGCATTGATATGATTGCCAAATGGAGTGCAATATCTACAAATAATACCATAGATTTAGTTTTTCCACATTAAAAGCACCCATGAAAGGCGGCAGTGGCTCAGTCTGTAGGGGACGGCAGTTCCCATCCCAATCGGACCAAAATAAGAAATATATATTGAGTGAGCTGGAGAGGTGCCTGTTCACCTCCTAGGCCACTGCCGAGGTGCCCTTGAGCAAGGCACCTAACCTCGAAACTGCTCCCTTGATGCCGGATAACTGGCAGGCTCTCTGCTCTGCATGTGGTTGTGTGTGTGCATGTATATCCTCTGTGTTTGTGCATGTATATCCTCCCCTTTGTGTGTAATGTGTGTAAACACAACAGAGTGGAGAAAGAAACTTTCCTGTGAGGGATTAATAAAGTATGTCTTCTTCTCATAACACATTTAGGATGCATTGATATCTGCTTGAAAAGGGGGTTGTTGGCCACAGTTTTAGCAGTGTGTACGGGAACGCGACCCTGGGCATTAACTCAATTGCTTTTTTGTTTCTGTATTTTTAAACATTGAAACCTAAGCTGCAGCCCAGCCTCTGCACTACAGTTTTAAGCCAGAAGTCTACAAATGGTGTCAATAGATGTATATCATTACCTATTAATATTGCATTGGGTTTAAATCCTCAACATTCCTACACAAAACCATTTGCCATAGTGTTGTTTGTCAAGTCTTTTGTCCCCTCTGTGATGTAAATGATTGGAGCTCTGTCATCTGACAACACCTTTAACTTTACGAAAATACGAAAATTAACTAAATGGGTATCATTTCTATTATTATTTTTATATCAAACGAAAGAAATGTATTTGTTGAGTTATCAAATAGTTTATCGCCAAGCCTTAGGCCCTGGCCACACGAAAACGAACCGAATTCGATATCAAAAAAGTCTTCAGAAATCAGAAACGTGTCCTTCCACACGAGACCGCACGACCCGCTGGAGACGCTGTAGTACATATGCCGGGCCTGTAAGTGTACTTCAGCCACAAAATACACCAAAAGCAGCGAAGAAGACTTCCCGAGCATGCATGGTTGCCATGGTTGCCCTTCTGTTTATTCTCCGCGGTGGATTTAGCAGCAGAGGTGGGGAGAGGCAGGGCTCTGGCTCTTTTTCTCCCTCCCCGAGGCAAGCGTGTGCTCCTGCTGTAAATCTCCTCGGTAGTCCACCAGCAGATGAAAAACACCCACCTCTCCGCCTCTTCCAAGGGACGAGGGAACCGTGCGGCAGTTTCTGTTAGAATTTTTTTCCGGCGGTCAACATGTCCGTTAAAAGTTTAAATCTTCCGAACAAAATTATAAAAGTGCCGGTCAAAGGTCTTCTTTGTTATTTATTGAGCTTTAAAACAAATGAATAACGACTCTATATAATAATATAAGAATAATACACAGAGTCTCTCTTTTCCTCCCCCTCTCCTGACAGCCCGTCAGTATTTTCGTTATCAGGAAATTATCGTATAGGGCGTAATCACGGAGCCGTTTGGCGTCCCAGAGCGTTGCGTCCCAGATCTACCCACCTTGGGACCCGTTATCGTTATCCGCGTTTCCCTGTCGGCCTCGGTCGTCAACCTTTTTGATGTGAAGTGCCAATTAAATTAAATATCTTATTAGTGTGCCGACGTTCGTGAACTGTCAACGGGGGGGGGGGGGGGGGGGGTGTAGCTGTAACGATCAGCTACACTCCTGATCGTTTCACTTTGGAGGAAAGTAGCAGAAAGTCGACTTGAGTTAAAGAGAGCGGGGCCTAGAAGTTATCCTTCTGCGCTGCGTTGCGTGCATGGCGTGCATGGCGTGCATGGCTTCCTTCTGCAGGGGGAGACGCGCTCTGCCGGCGGTCTCGTTCAGGATCCAAAAATACATTTGAACAAGAAACACTCCAGGAAGGAGTAGAGCAGGGGAGCAGGGTGCTCCGGTGGGGGGAGCAGGGTGCTCCAGCGAGCACTGAGCTACCGCACACTAAAAGCATCATAAGTAACAGAGATGATTACAAAAATAAAAATGCCCCATGGCGCACCATAGACTTTGGCTCCTATCCAATGAAATTGGATTTGCTCATCACGTGATTAGTGTTTGGTCTTGGCGCCCCAGTGTTGTTTATTCACATCAGAGATGTTCAACAATACACACAACCAGGGCCGGCCCTTGGCATAGGCAGTATAGGCGAATGCTAAGGGCGCATCAACCCATCGGGGGCGCCGAAAAAAAAAAGACAACACAATTTCCCGATTTTGGATCAACAAAGTACATCTTATTATCTTATACTAACAGAACTACGCCTATATTGCGTACAGCGCCCATAAGCTATGGCAACCCCCCCCCCAAAATCAAGTTGAACTGCCCCAGCCCCAGTAAAAACCTGAGGTTTATGTGAAATTGTTCTTTTTTTGAAATAATGGTTTTAGTGTGCAATTGTAGGTTTTAATTTTGTATTTGTATTAATTTAAAAGTAAATCAAACTCCCAAAAAACGTATACAGCTTCTGTGTGCTTTTACTAACATTGGAATTTACTGTGTAAGCGGCCGTGGGGGGGAGAGCTTTAGAGAGCTCTCTCCTGAAAGACTGAGCGGCTCTGAGAACCTCAGCTCAGGGGCCTCATTTATAACGCCTTGCGTAGGATTCACGTGGGAAGGTTGCTTCCGTAGTACAAAGCAAAAAAATAGGTACAGAAATGTTCCGACATTTTCCGATTCACAAAACATTGCGTACCGGCGAGGGAAGTGCGTACGGCACTTCCTACGCCTGTTTCCCTTTGTAAATCACAATCGACTCGAAATGCGGCGCAGCTTTTGCAGGCTTCACGTAACGCCCATATTTGCCTATAAATAGTCAAATAAACGCCCATTCATTCATTCATTTTGACTGACTGCATGAAGCAGATCGCAGGAAATGACGACAGAACAGCTAAAAAAAGACATCTCACACCGTGTCAGATTTTGGTTATTTTGGGCAGGTCGAGATAAATCATATTGTTTGGTGGATGCAGTTTGAACCAGAGTAGCAGCATGGAGGTCGGATCGTCACCAAAATAAATAAATAAGTGGTCCGAAAAAGGTTAATGACAAAAAAAATACACATAACCTTCCTCAGGCAGTGTGTTTGTAACGGGGACAGGAGACACCCCCTTGATGAGAAACTGTAAGAAATGATCGGGGAATCCCTCCGGAGTGGAGTCATGACGACTGGATCTGAATAAATTGTTTGTATTTGGTGGTTTGTGTTCCAGCCAGAGGTGGGGACTCGAGTCACATGACTTGACTCGAGTCAGACTCGAGTCGCATATTTTTTTACTTGAGACTTGCTTGACTAACATTGATAAAAGACTTGACTTGACTTTGACTTGGTATTCATGACTTGAGACTTGACTTAAGCTTGAGACAGATGACTTGAAAGGACTTGACTGTTTAAAATTAAATATTTGCGTTTGTTTTTGTAGTGAGATATTACGTTTAGTTTTTTCGAAAAATGTGATTGGGTGAT